TCACTCATATGAGGACTTTAAGAGACAAAACAGACGAACATAAGGAAAGGGAAACAAAAACAATATAAAAACAAGGAGGGGTACAAAACAGAAGAGACTCATAAATATGGAGAACAAACTGAGGGTTACTGGAGGGGTTATGGGAGGGGGGATGGGCTAAATGGGGAAGGGGCACTAAGGAATCTACTCCTGAAATTATTGTTGCACTATATGCTAACTAACTTGGATGTAAATTTTAAAAAATAAGATTAAAAAAATTGTTTAAAGCAAAAAAAATAAAAATAAAAATAAAATCATGAATGGGGGAAAAAAGAAAATATATGGATGGCAAATAAGAACATAAAAATGTTCAACACCATTAGTTATTGAGGAAATGTAAATTGAAACAATGAGATAAAACTGCACACCTATGGAAAGGCTAAATTTAAAAAGAAGATAATATCAAGTGTTGGTGAGGGTATGAAGCAACTGGAACTCTCTCACACTGCTGATAGGAATGCAAAATGGTGGCCATGAACTTACTCCTTCGAGATGGACTTACCTCACAGGCATTCAACATCCGTAGGCTGTTGTTTCTTTTCATGCAGTCTTACAATCAGGACAAAGCTTGCTGGAACCAGGTGCAAATGAGTAAATTTGACAATGTGGGGATGCTGGTGGCCAGAGAAGAACAAATTCCCATAGAGGGGCAGCAACCACTGGGCTCCAGCTGACTGCTGTCACATGAGGGCCCTGAGCTACAGATCTTCCAGTTTTCAAAGCGAAGCCAAGCATCTAGGCTATGTAGAATATCCCAGTTTCTTTTTTTTTTCAATGATCAATATATGTTTTACTTTATTTTATTTTTATTTATTTTTTTATACAATTTGTTGTCCAATTGGTTTCCATACAACACCCAGTGCTCATCCCAACAGGTGCCCTCCTCAATGCCCATCACCCACTTTCCCCTCTCCCCACCCCACCCCCCATCCACCCTCGGTTTGTTCTCAGTATTTAAGAGTCTCTTATGGTTTGCCTCCTTCCCTCTCTGAGAGTATCCCAGTTTCTAAATGATGTCAAGGAATTCAAATTTAAACTTTAAAAAATTCACTGTTCTGGGGGTTGGGAGGAGGAAAAGAAAAGAGACAACCAAAAAAAGAACAAAAAAAGAAAAAAAGATGCTTGTGGGTTTGTTATAGTCTCTGGTCTCTAGTCAATCAGTTTTCAGTGTCTCAGAGTAGAGAAGCAGGCCGCCACTCCAAGTGTTTTCCTGGGACCAGCAGGAGCTCCACTAGGGAGCACATTAGACAGGCAGAACCATAGGCTTTCAACCTAGTTGAGACAGAATCTAAATTTTATCAATATCCCCAGGCAATTCATACACACATTCAAGTTTGAGAAGCACCAGTCTAGGTGTATGGTTCCCAACACTGGGCCAAATTAGAATCACTTGGAGAACTTAAAAGAATATCTATGACTGGGCTGCACTAGGAAGCAAGTAAGTCAGCATTTCTGGAGATGTGGCCTAGGCACTGCTATTTAAAAACCCATCTGAGGGGCGCCTGGGTGGCGCAGTCGGTTAAGCGTCCGACTTCAGCCAGGTCACGATCTCGCGGTCTGTGAGTTTGAGCCCAGCGTCAGGCTCTGGGCTGATGGCTCAGAGCCTGGAGCCTGTTTCCCATTCTGTGTCTCCCTCTCTCTCTGCCCCTCCCCCGTTCATGCTCTGTCTCTCTCTGTCCCAAAAATAAAATAAAATAAAACGTTGAAAAAAAAAATTTAAAAAAAAATAAAAACCCATCTGAGTGCTTCAAGTGGGCAGTCAGAGTTGAGAAACACTAACTTAGATCAGTCTGACATTTATGAGTGGCAAAGTGAAGCCTCGGAAAATGGATGGGTGAAATGTCTTGCCCAAGGTCATTAGCTAGGGTGTGGGAGAATCTGATTTGTGCTCAACCTCTTATCTCACGATTCCCAAGCCTGTGGCTTTTTGCTACCGTTACCTTTGGTTCCTGGGAGCAGAACCACAAAATAATCCTGTTCAATGATAGCTCGATAGCTCATGACTGCCAGCCTTCCAGCTAAGTTGCTTTCAGCACTGAATGCCTAACAAGATGGACTGGATGAAAGGCTGTGAGTTGACGGGCCCTTCCTTCTGCCTATTCAAACCCAAATCCATTTCATTCTCCCTATACATCACCTCCAAATGTGCTAACTGCTCCTGCTATGAAGAAATGGAAGGTCCTCCACCCGGGCCTCAAAATCTTGCTGCATAGGCAGGGAGTGGAGGCCAAGACCCCTGGCAGCAGTGTGAGAATCTGGGTTCGGCACCAATCAGCAGTGAGTGGATGGAGTGTGATTGCTGGTCCCTTATCACTCTTGGGCTGCATCAGTAGAAGAACAGGTCCAGAATGGGAAGCTGGTAGGTCTACTTGAGCCTGACCTAGCACAGTTTTACAGTTGAAGAAACTGGGAGAATTAACTGAGTGCCTCCCACAGAGTGGTTGAGCCAAGATTCCTAACCCCTCTTTCCAGGAGAAGGAAAGTGCTCATAATATGCTGATCCCATGGGATAGTCCTTGAGCAGTTTCGCGGTCAAAGGAACAGAGTAACCACACAAGTAATGTGTCAATGAGTTCTCTTGTATTTTCGGGATACCACAAAGGAGGCCCACATTTCCCAGTGATACTTGTGAAATGTCCTTCTATTCTTTTTTTTTTTTTTTTTAATTATATGATTTTTTCAACGTTTATTTATTTTTGGGACAGAGAGAGAGCAGAGCATGAGGGGCAGAGAGAGAGGGAGACACAGAATTGGAAACAGGCCTCCAGGCCTCGAGCCATCAGCCCAGGAGTCTTCACGCTGGGCTCGGAAATCTCACGGACAGCGAGATCGTGACCTGGCTGAAGTCGGACGCTTAACTGACTGCGCCACCCAGGCGCCCCTTCTACTTACATGTCTGCGTTTTTATGGTTGCATATTCGTTTCTTCCTTTTTTTTTTTTCAACTCTCTGCCATCAAAATAGCCTTCTTCCTAACCCTATCCTATGCCATGACCCTCTTTCTTCTCCTTTCACTCCAATTCTACAGCTGCAAAGACAGGAACATTTTGGAGATCTCATACAGGACTCTAGTGGGCAGACAGTCTGGGGACCATCGTACATTTCAGGTCCATGACAACCATGCATGCCTCAGTCATCTCCCTAATGATACCACTCTGTCCTGCTCTGCTGTAACACTTCTGTGATCCACCCATGGACCTCAGATCTATAATGACTTTGAAGGCTCAACACAGAATGAGCCTCTTCAGGGTACTCAGCCAGGGGACCCAGTCTGACGTGTGAGCACGAATCTGTTCTGTTTGTTTATTTAAAAAAAATTTTTTTTAATGTTTATTTATTTTTGAGGCAGAGAGAGACAGAGCATGAGCAGGGGAGGGTCAGAGAGAGAGGGAGACACAGAATCTGAAGCGGGCTCCAGGCTCCCATTTCAGCACAGAGAGCCTCGAGGCTGGGTCAACTCACAGGACTACAGATCATGACCTGAGCCGAAGTCGGAACCTCAACCGACTGAGCCACCCAGGCGCCCCTGTTTATTTTAAATAAAACAGGGGCACCCAGGCCACTGCAGGATTGAGGGAGCATGTGTGACAGGTCTTTGATAACAGTTGAGTACTAAATAATTACAAGGTAATGGTGCAAGCCGTGAGAATTCTTCCATGCCACCAGCCCTGGAGAAAAAATTGTCACTTGACAAGGACTTACAGTCCATGCTTCTATCTTGCTTACACCCACACAAATGATCTTTCACTTGCTCTCCTCCAGGTAAAGAAACTCCTTCCAAGGATCCAACCATATCGAGTGAGGTTATAGCCTCATCTGAAGACAAGGAAAAATGTTTCCTGTCACAGAATATGACTCCAGGTATTTAAACCCTAAAGAGAAGACCTATTTGTTGAAACAAATATTATCCATGTTGAATACCACAGTAACCTCCTTATGTCTCCCATCTGCAAGCTCCCTTCCTCTTATCCTTTCTAGGCACCACCACAAAATGCATCGTTGTGGGCATGGCCTTGACTATGACATTCACTTGCTCACAAATCTTCCGGTGCTCTCTCCATTGCCTGCAGGATTAAGTTAAAGCTTCTCAGGCTGACACTCAAAGCTCTTCACGGTCCAGCACGTATTAGGAGCTCCATATATATTTGCTGTACTAAAGAAAGTATATCATCATCAGGGACCATTTTTGAGGGCAAATCGTGTGTCAAGCATGTGCTAAGTGATCGCGTCTCATTCTCACGTGCTCACCTCTAGGAGGTGCCGCCAAACTCCCCATTGCAAAGGTGGCAGAGTCCCAGAGAGAAAGGCAACTTCCCCACCACTGCAAAGCTAGTAGGTGACAAGAAAAGCAATCAAACCTGGGTCGTTGTTCATAACCACTGTGCTTCATTGCCGCTCCAAGCACGTGCTCCTGTCTGGCATACGAGTGTTAGATTTGCGAAAAAGATTTGCATTATGAATGTTACAAGCGACATGAACTAGGTGAATGGATATTGCTTACTTGTCATTACAGGTTCTTTATTTTTATTACTATTATTTTTTCAATTCTGTCCAACTGCTGGGCTGACGATGAGAAAAACCTTGCCCTTTCTTGTTCTTGTGTCAGTCTGCTTATTTGTCTGTCAGCTTGGGCCATCCTGGAAAAAAAAGGTAACTTGCCATCTGTTGTTTCCTGAAGGCAGTGGAGTCAGCATTTTGCCTTCTCAATGCATGAAGGCCAATGAACAGAGGGTACGTGTAGGTGAAATTTATCCAACCGGGGCTGGTCTCTTCCATCTTTCAGTGTTTTCCTCCAGGATGCTGTTTCCAGGAAAGTCACGGAGTGAGAAGGGGACACTTTGCTCCAGCGGCCAAGCTCTCTTTTATGCAGAAGAGGTGTAGACAAAATCAATCAGATACATTAGCATGATTAAACGACCAGTTTTCAGAAAGATTTTTAAAAAATGACAAAATGCACTTCACACTAACACTGGAGTGAACTTGATTTATTCCCCGGTCTGGTCATGCTGAGGGCACTGTAGGATCCCAGACAGGAGGCTCTCACGGATGGCTCTCACCTGTTGGGATCTCAAAAGCAGTTTGCTTATTTAAATCCAGTCTTTTGAGTGACATATCCACGGATCCATATGCAGGGCAAGGAGATCCCCACTGAAAGGACTGTCATTCGTTCGGGGCTATTGCAAGAGATTCTAGAAGGGAGTTTGGGTCAGGCTTTGGAAGGACAGGACCGATGGGCTTGGCAAAAAGGCATCCCAGAATCAGAGTCAAGGTTGATTACAGGTGTGACAAGATGAGAGCAGAGAGATAAGGAATTGCTGTAGCACTGGGGTGGGGGTGGGAAGTTTGTGAGGGTCAAGAGCCAGCGCTTAAGGTGTTAAGTGAGTATTTGCTATGTTGGAGGCCCTGAACAAAAAGCTTTATATGCATAATCTCATTTGTAAGCCTCTTAAAAGCTGTGTGAGATAGGTTATTCGACAAGTCATTTTGCTAGTGAGAAAAGTCAAGTGTAGAGAGGTAATTAACTGTTGGGCATGGCGGTTAGCCAGCGCGGAGCCCAGCCTTGAGCCCAGGTCTGTGTGACTCCGCCTCCCTGGGCTTCGCCTCCTGCCTCCTCCGAGAGGTCAGCGCACTGATCAGTGAGGCTACCAGAAGACTGGATCCGCTCGGCTGAAGATGGACGGCTTGGATGAGATTAGATCGCAGGCCAGGGAGGAATGGAGTGGAACACACATCCACCCGCAGTTCATACCAATGTCAGGTCAGTTGGGCATGTCCTGTTGGAGCCGATCGGCAGCCACAACATTTTCAGGACTTCTAGTTTAAAAATGGGCCTCTTACAGGTAGGATTCCAGGCTGCCTTGTGTTACCCAGGTCAGCATGAGAGGGACCGTCTTTAAAGTGCTCAGGGATTTGCAAAGTCCCTGCAAGTTAGGCTTAGAAGAAAGACCTCCATGGTTATGCAGTCCAATGCCTTTTTGGCTCCTTGTGTTTGCTAATTATTAACAAGATGGCTACTTATTGTCTAAAGAAGGCATGTGGCAAAGTTCGGTTATAAGATGAACCTCCTCAGGGTGACCTTTCCTCACAACACTATTCAAAGGCATACCTCAGCCTCCAAGTGCTTGGTCCCTCTGTCTGTTCGCCTGATTGCGTTCAGTTTGTAGCACTTTTCTCCATCCGAAATTATTGTGTTCACCCAATGGGTTACTTGCCTAGAATACAAGCTCTGTGAGAACAGGGACCGTGTCTATTTTGTTCCTGTGATACCCCAGCGCCTGAAGCAGCTTCTGCTCGCAATAGTGGTTGAATAAATGTGCATTTTGAAGAAATTAAAGGTAGACTTTAATACATTACCAGTTACCCTGACAAACATTAATAGAAACATTATTAGAAAGAAATGGTTTAGAGAAAAACATATGGTGTATGCATAGTATATAAAGTACATAATATCTATGACATATCATACATTTGACATATTAATACATTTCCCTATGAATGGATAAGTTGGTATTTGTTCAAAACTTTCACAGATCATTCACAGGAGGCAATATATGTCTACCTGTTTGTGTCGGCACTCAGTGCCAGGCAGCGTACAAATATACCTTGTTCAAAGCAGGAATAACCAACGGCAACTCCTGGGATTCCAGAACATGCTGGGGTTTCAGCCTTTTTTTTTTCTTTTCTGCCTTGGGGGACATTTTTCAAAAGGTGCTCAGAAGATTGTTAGGTAGTTAGGAGTACTTGTAATCTCTAATTAATGAGGATACCAATTTAAGGTTTAGGTGTGGGAAGCATTGGGGTTCATCTAATTCTTTCTTCCCTTTTATTGCATTTCCAGCCTGACCTGATTGCATTTCTCTCTCTCTTCTCTTTAAGATCTGACCCTCTCCTTCAGTGTGAAGAGCCGCTCCAGGAGGTGTGTAAACGGCCCCCTGCAGGAAGCAGCCAGGAGGCGGCTCTGGGCACTGGAGAATGAGGACCAGGAGGTGCGTGCACTGTTTAAGGTGAGCTTGGATGGAGGGGTGCAATTCTGAGCCTGCCTTGTGTTCGTGGGCGGCTACAAGGTTCACCAGCACCTGGGACAGCGCCGGGAACAAAGTAGGCCCTCAAGAACAGGGCTGACTGAAGGAAACAATGAATGAAAATGTACATATTTTCTGCCCAACAAGAATAGGCAGCACTCGGAAGCTGGCGAGGAGTTGCAGAGTCAGAGAAAATGGTTTCAAATCTGACACTGTTATTTGTTTGACCTTCTACAACTTACTTACCTGTGTAGGATGGGAATCGTTATCATGTCTATCAAGTATACTTTAAAAAAAATGAAATTAATTTTTTTAATTGGAATTTTATTGTTTTTTATTGTGATAAAATATGCATAACATAAACTCTCAACTTTAATTATTTTCAGTGTGTAATTCGGTGACATTAAGTGCACTCACATTGTTATGCAACCATCATCACTGTTCATTCCAGAACTTTTCCATCATCCCAAATGGAAGCTCTGTACCTACTAAACAATAACTCTCCTCTGTCCCCTTTCCTCAACACTGGTAACCAATAAGTATGTATTTTTTTAAATTACCAAAATTGTCAATCAAAAATTAGTAACTATACATTTTAGAATGGGAGGGAAAAAGGCATTGAAGTAAAAAACCAATTCGTCCTCTTTCATAGTGGGTAGCTAGTATCTTCAGTTGTTACACCAAGGAAGAAGGGTATGGCCAAGTTATTTACAGCTTAGGAGGGACTTACTAGGAGAGCCAAAGTCAGAAATGGTTAAAAATTGTTGCAACTAGAGGTGGGATAAAGAGAATATTACCTTATGTAATAAACTAATATGTTCTAGTTATTTTTACAGTCCCTGAATTAATTTGATACAAATTATAAAGGGAAATGTGTTCTATTAATCTGTCACGTATAAAAAAAAAGAAAGAAAGTGTTTGGTTTGTTGGGAGGAGTCAGTGAGTCAGTATCTGTAGAGAGCTTGGCTTTGCTTGGGTGGTGGTATATACTCCATAAATAGTAGATAAATTATAAATAGTAGTGTTTTTTTTTAATTTCCAGAATTCAGAAACTTGGAGGCACGAGCTGCTAACTGGCACCATAGTTTTTTTAAAATTTGAGTCACTCTTGGCGTGGGCAAGAGCTGGGTTTGATTGAGCCAGGTGGTCTGCTGGGTTGAGGATTGAGCCAGGCAAACTTGTGTGCCAGAACTGAGACCTGGAGTCAGCTGGATCTCAGCTCCAGCCAAGGTGCCACAGCACACACACAGGTGACCATGGGCAGATTGCTTAACCTGTCTGTGCCTGGCCCTTGTTGACGTGGAGAGGGCCATTTTCTATTAAATCTGAGGTGCCATTTGATTATAAAACGCACCAACATCTTATATACCTCAAAGGAAAGAAAAGAAATACGGCCAATTAAGTATGATGCCGTGCTTCCTTCTCTCTTGTTTCAGAAATGATCAAATGTGGGAAAAGTGCATCTTAGAATGTATTCAGTAGTGTAATCGTACTCTTTTCACAGGGTTATTGTGAGTAAATGAGGCAATGTTCATAAAGATCTTTGTGAGGTGCCTGACCATTGATGAATCTCCCAGAAATCAATTTTTATCTAGAGCCCATTCCCTGTGCAACAGGATCGACATCCTCCAAGGATCTGGGGACTCCTGGGGCCTGGTATGGGAGAACCCCAGCGTTTTGACTTTGTTGACCTGAGGGCTCTTTCTCTCTCCTGTCCTCTTCTCTTCTATCCACAGGGTAGATAACCTCTCTTTCTATCCTCTTCTTTCCACAGGGTTCTCCCAGAACAGTATTCCGGGGGTTGATCTTTGATGGCAGGACCTGGTCTGGGGGAGAAAGGATGTTCTGGCCATCTGTCCTTATAGTCAACTCTAGAAGCTTGGACAAGCAACAGGAAAAGATTTTAAGGGAAAACCAAGTCTGCATAGTGGTTCAGGCCTGTTTTCTCAGTTATTAAAAAAACTGGGGTGGGGGAGCATGCAAACTGGCCTAGCACAGCCTTTCTGGAGGGCAGTTTGGCCCCCGCATTTTAGGATTGAAAACATGGATGTCTACATTCCCAAATGCACATCTCAGAATAACTTGCGTCAAGACTATCAAAGATGTGTACAAAGATTTAACTCTAGGATGTTTATCACGGTACTGTTTAGGATGGTAAGAAAATTAAAACAACTCAAATGTCTAACCATAAGGCAATGTTAAGAATTAATTATATTAATGTAGCAATGACATACGTAACCATTAAGAAGAATGCAGGCTATTTAACGACAAGGGAGCTGGTTCACAAAATATTATTTAGTTACAAAAGATTACAAAACAACTTACATAATGTAATTCTACTTATATAAAAATAGTTACTTCCAAACTCACGGAGAGGAAAAAGGATTCAGAGTTAATACGCAAGGGTGTTAACATCGATGATCTCTAGGAGGGGGGATTGTGGATGATTTTTGTTTTTGTGTAATTTGGTTTTTCTGTCAGCTTTATGAAAATACTCATTAGACATAGATTCACAATCAAAGTTTCTTTCAAGGTGCCTTCTATTATCTATCTTTCTTCTTCCCTTATACATCTTTTTTTTTTTTTTTTTTTAACACAAAAGGTATTCTTTGCACCTTGCTTTCTTTCTGTTGTGGCTGTTCCATTTAGCAGCGTATATTTGGAACTGTGTCAGAGCACCAAGAATTTCCTCATTCTTTTTTATGGCTGCGTAATATCATAATATTCCATTGCGTGGATGAATCATAATTCACCAGTCTCCTATTGATGGACATTTAGGTTGTTTCCTTTTTTTTTTTTTTTTGGTGATATAAAAACAAATCAATGCCACAATCAAGAAATTCATACGAAGCATTTTGCGTGTCTATGAGATCATTAACAAGACACTGTCACCCCAGGTCTTCTCACTGTTCTCTTTACCCAGGACCTCTCAGCCAGGTTGGTGGGTATCCAGTCCCAGAAGGCTCAGTTCCTCATCACCTTCAAGACCGTGGAGGAAATCTGGAAGTTTTCCACCTACTTGAACTTAGGTATGATGTGGAGCAGGCAGGTGGAGGACGTAACTACATCAAAGTTCAGCCAATATGTAGGGCTTGACATTAGGGAATTGGCCCAGCTCTGATAACTGAAAGAGGTTAGAGCCCTAACGTGGATGGTTAACTTTTGAAATGTCACAAACTACCTGGAACTAAATCTAAAGCAAATATTGACTACTACCCTCAAATGCCATGTGCCACATTTCTTCGATTTCAGGAAGAGACTACTTTCTCAGATAATCAAGCAACTGGCAGGAAGTTCTTAGGGATCTACTAAATTCAAAGGACTGGGAGAGATACAGATTGATGGTTTCGAAAAAAAAAAAGGAAACCAGTCTTCAGTAAGATCAGAGTAGCTGCTCAGAATAGTAAAGCTCTGGATACTGTAGCCCACATTTTTGGAAAAGGGTCAAAGAAAGGGATGGGAAGTTATCTGCTAAAGGGAACTCAGATTGCAGGGTTTTCTAGGAAATGACCTTGTGGAGGGAGGGAGGGGTCAAGATGGTTCTTGGCTAGAAGGTATAGCTTCTCTGGTAGTCATGGCGACTTTCTGTTCTCCATACTGTGCATCTCCTGTGATCATTTAGAGACCTGCCTCCAGTTTAAAGTGTACTCCATGGACCAGCAGCATTGGCCTCATGTAGAGCTTGCTAGAAAAGTGGAATCCCAGCACCCATCCCAGACCAACTGGCCCAGCATCTGTATTTTAATATGATCCCCAGGTGATTTGTGTGCAATTAAAGTACAAGATGCACAATTATAGAAAACACACGAGGCCTAAGCAGGTATAATGGAGAGTCAGAATGGAAAAAAAAACAGGTTTTTGCATCTTAAGAAAGAGGCAGTCTCAAACAGAAGCAAAATTTTAACATAAATCATTCACATTTATAGGTGTGTGTGAATTATTACCCATAATTGCAATTTGCAGAGTTTCCAGTCTGGTTTTAACAAGGGAGACCATACTGACAATGACTGATGGAGAGGGTCAGAGAGGGGATGTTAAAGAAAATCCTGGCTCCTTTGTGGGTCATGGACAGCCCACCAGCCACTGCATCATCTGGGACATAGAAATTTGAAACTCAAGTCAGGAAAACCTGAAAGGGGGTGGTGACCAGGACCTCCCAGGGTCCAAATTATGATCTTGGAGATTGTTCCATGGATGTATTAGAAAAAGGTAATTAGGTTTGGTCAGCTCATTGCGCATTTATGGTGACCCAAAACATGTTGGAAATGGTAAATATCCTTTAAAAATGACTTGTATTTCCCAACAGATGCTGAGAAGAATCAGTTCACTCTAGAAATTTTCTAGCTACCTCTCTATGCTCTTCTAATGCCAGTTAAATGGGGTCAGGTTGAGGATGGAAGTCCAAGAAGGAACTTCCAAAAGGAGCTTTCTCAACCTTTCCTGGGCTCAGCTAATGGCAGAAATCACGTTGTCCAGGAACCTTGTTGGCTTGATTTCTTAGGCTATGTATCTGCATGTCTGGAACATCTCCTCTTTGACCATAAGTACTGGCTCAACTGCAGATTGGTGGAAGATACAGAGATCCAAGTTTCTGTGGATGAGAAACACCTGGAAACAATATACCTGGGACTTCTGATACAGGAAGGTGAGCTTGGAGTGGGGTGGAATGGGCTTTTATGTGGATATTTATTATCAGTGTCTCTGAAGTAATTAGGATACAAAGAGAGGCAAAAATCATTCAAAGGTGAGAATATTCATAAAGAACCCACCTGTTATAATATTACTCCAAACATATCTCTTGGTTTGACACTGACATCCCATGAACAGCTATATTTGTCAGTCTCACTGATTTTCTGGTGTTAGAACCACGTGGGGAATTTTTAGAAGATGCCCATGCCAGGACTCCACCAGGGCCAATTAAATCTCCAGAGGTAGGAGCCAGGCTTTGGTTTTTGAAAGTTGCCCAGACAATACTAATGTGCATCTGAGAGTAAGAACCCCTTTTTAAAATATATATGATTGGATTGTGAAATAAAATTGCAGATCTTACAAACCCCTCAAGATTTTATGAAATTGAGGAATATGGTGTCAGGGAACTTCTTGGAGCACCGGCTGATCTGTTTACAAGGAGGAATCTGAGCAGGGCTACAGCCAATCAGTTAACAACTGATGACGTCACAGACACAGTGAAAAAGCCAGATTTGCATAGAATCTTTTGCAAAATGATGCTGTTTATGATTGCATTGCACAAATCACAATGGAAGGAAAGAATGTCATACTGTGCTACTGTAAAATCTAGTTGCAGAAATTATATTCGCCCAAATCAACTTATTCTTTTCTGGTCCTCAGGTTAAGCAGAAGCTTGCAATTGTAACTGAAATTCTGTTAAATGTATTTTCATTAATTTTTGTTTCTTTTTTTTTTTTTTTCAAGGCAAAGTCCCAATTAAACCTTATTCTCACCAATTACTCAGAGCTTATGGTGTCTAATTTAAGTGCCTTCCCTCTCAGTGGCTTCCCCCCCCCCTCCCCCCGGTACAGTTCTTCTGGGATCCCAAAGTCTCTCTGGGATGCCTCTCCCTTGGCTGTGTCCTTGACTCCCAGGAAGAAAAGTATTTCGGCTTCTGTTAGAAATGTTACATTGTGTGATAATCCCTTTTCACTTCCTTCTACTCCTTGGAGGGGCTTTTCTCATTATCTACAGGCCACTTCTTCTGCAGAGCCGTGTGCTCTGTGGCTCAGCCGCCTGAGAAGGAAGGGGAGTATTTGACACTCTGGAAGAAGGAGTTAATCTCCGTGAAAATAGTTGAAGGCGGATCCGAGTGGGAGGGCGTGTCCCTGGTGACTGGTCAGCGGGGCCTGGTGCCCGTGTCAGCCCTGGAACCTCTGCTTCTCCCTTTCCACCAGTGAGTAGCCACCTACATCTTGGGAGTGGGTCCCAGAGCAGAACTGAGGTCTGCACGGAACAGAGGAGACATGCCTGCACATATGGGCATCTATGGTGCCAGGGTGGGAAGAAAACCTGGATGGTTTTTTGTCTTTTGTCATTTTTTTTAACGGTCAAAATTTGCACAACTTGATGAAACTGGAGACAACTCAAAATTTCAGATGGACATTGTACCTAAGAGGAAACCTACTGCCTGATCTCCAAATGCAGTGTTTCTCAATGTGGGGACTGGGGACCATTTGTATCAGAATCATCTGGGGATTTACTATAAATTCAGTGCCCCCCTGGCCATCTTCAGACTCTATTAGGATTAGATTCAGGAATTTGCATTTTATATAAGCTCCCTTTGAACGTAAGAGGATGTGTTCCATACTAAAGTTTGAAAATCCCTGCCGGGAGATTGTCACACACCAAGTGACAATATGCATGATCCCAGGCTGTGGACCCTGTGGTTGGCTCTGGCAGAGAATTTGACAGTGATAATGGAAAGGGATCCCTTGTTAGTTATTTCACTGGCCAACTAATCGCAGAGCCAAAAAAATCATCCCAGGCCTGCTGAATTCCTCTCCTTTTCACAGTGCCTAAATGCCCAATAAATGTCGGTCATCATTATAATAGGACTAATAACCATGATACTTACCCATTATCACCCTCATTGTTATTTTAACGGACTATTCTGCTCGCTGTTGTCAGTTTTTTGAAATCTGTGTTTGCAAACCCCGCGTTTCCATTGGCAGATGGTTCCTAAAGAACTATCCAGGAAGCTGTGGCTTTTCCAGGAAGAGGGATTGGACAGGCTCCTATCAGATCGGTATGGCTGAGTTGAAGACGGTATTGTCGGGGAGATCATATCGCCCTGCCTCCTAATTTTATCTGCAAGTTTGGAGTCCATTGATGGGAATTCCTGTTTAGCCCCTGCTGCTCCCGGGACTTGGAGAAAGTGGTTGCTCTCTATAACCTGGGTTTCCTTGCCTGTGAAATGAGAAGTCTCAACCCAGGGCTATTGATACAAATGCTCCCAGGGGCGGAGAGGGCCTGAATGGGAGAGGTAGGGGAGTGGTAGGGACCATAGGGATTTAAAGACAGGGGCGCCTGGGTGGCGCAGTCGGTTAAGCGTCCGACTTCAGCCAGGTCACGATCTCGCGGTCCGTGAGTTCGAGCCCCGCGTCAGGCTCTGGGCTGATGGCTCGGAGCCTGGAGTCTGTTTCTGATTCTGTGTCTCCCTCTCTCTCTGCCCCTCCCCCGTTCATGCTCTGTCTCTCTCTGTCCCAAAAATAAATAAACGTTGAAAAAAAAAAATTTAAAGACATATGGGTGAATAAGCAGCCTGGTGTGGGCCGCATGTGGGCCGCAGGCTGCCTGTTCTCAATCTCTGGTCAAAACGTTTTTCCAATTTCCCTTAAAGTTAGGTGAAATGGGTCTTGAATGTAGGAAGAGTCAGAATGCCTGGCACACAATGGATATACTCAGTAAATATTTGTTGAATAGAGAAATATTTACATATATATATAATATTATGTATTATGTATATATGCGTATATTCTAGGTAATCTCTGTACGCATGTGTATGGATGTGAGTACACATAAATACACATACACACATGTAGCTATAAGTATATGTGTATCTACTGGAAATGAACTGTAATGTTTTCTAAGTGTCTGAAATATAATTCCGTTCATCTTCACCCTTAGCGCCCCTCCCCACTCCCAACCAACTTAGCCCAAGTGCAATTTTATAAGTTCGGAGCTCCAATGACACTTTATTTTTTTTTCCCAAATAGCACTTTATAAAAAGAAATGCAGGGAATTATGGAACCCAGACATTAGATCTAATCAATCAGTTGACATAAGTAAGATTTTCACCTATCTGAGGCAGTACAAGCATTCCCTGGAGTTATGAATACAGGGCTGTGATGTCTGCTCTGGGTTCAGATTCTGACTCCACACCTTAAGACCAGCGTGATCTCTGTCGGTTCACAAGCTTACTGTGCCACAAGTTCCTAATGAGTAAAATGTTACCATAAAACTGACTTCGAATATCATGAGAAATCCACCAAAGGACATCTGAAAATCTCTTAGTATGGTTTTTGCGCGCTGCAGGTGTTTAACACACTACAGATCCCATCAACCCACGAAGTGGTGGGAATTTCTGACCTTGAACACACAACTGATAATAACTTGATCAAAAATGTCAGGGGACAAAAAAAAAAAAAAAAAAAAAAAAAAAAAAAAAAAAAAAAAAAAAAAGGCCAGTAGCTTTAGCAGAATGGCTAACGCAAATACGGAAACTAAGACACATAAAAACCATCGTTCCAAGCAAAGCAGGATTAGCGGAAAGAAGTGTTAACCAGAAGCTGAGAGACTGAGTTCCTTGGACAAATCACATACCTTCTCTGTGCTTCCACCTTTTAACCTATAAAAAGGGGATTCTGATCCCCTTGGGACTCTGGGGAGGATCTGAGAAAATGGGCTTAAACGTACTTTGTAAACTGGACGGTACGGAGCTTATAAATATGTCATTACTAGATCTTAGCTGGGAAACTCATCAAGCTGAGTAATGACCATCATCAGAAGGGAAGTCTTCCAAATCCCTCTGGGTCCTGAGCGGTTTTCTGTTCACCGGTGGCACGAGGCTAACATTTATGGAGGTTTGATTAGGTACCAGGCATTGTGCATGTAATCTCTTTGGCTTTTCCTAATATTTATGAGGCAAGCATTCTTATTATTCCCATTGTACAGTTGGGGAAACCGAGGCTCATAGTGGCCAAAGGAGTTGGAAGGAAATGGAGAGATCCCACAATGTTTTTCACACTGGTCTGTCAATTTGTGCTAAGCATCACAAAGTATTTATGTGACAATGGCAAATCAGACATAGTAGGACGATATAGGAAGCTTTTCAGCTTGCCATGAGTGAACTTTATTCAGTTTTAGCGTATATCCAGTATTCTGAGATGATCTTTCCTGCATTTGTTAATACATCATTTCTTTTGTAAAGTGAAGGTGACAGTGGATGGTAGCTCCTTTCTTTGAATGTCCTAGTTTGGCAAAGTTAAGAGCCAGTTACCCTGTGTCATTCCTCCCAATTTCTTTTTCTTTTTTTTTTTTTTTTTGGTTGGGGGGGGGGTGTGGTAGGGAGACGATTTTACTGGTCCTTGAAATTCTAAATTCTGGGGACCCTTCATTTCATAGTATGCTGGAAGCAGTTTCTGCCTTATTTAGTTGACATGGATGTTATCTCCCCACAGGCAGAGGAAAATGTAAGGCCTGGAAAGAATATGAGAGGGAAGAAAAGGATGAGCTGAATTTTCACCAGGGAGAAAGCATCGAGATCATCGGCTTCGTCATACCTGGGCTTCCGTGGTTCATTGGAAAGTCGACACGCTCAGGAGAAGTGGGCTTTGTCCCCACCAGGAACATAGATCCTGAGTCTTACTCCCCAATGTGAGTATGGCAGACAGGCCCTCTGGGATCCTGTAGCGGGTGTCTTCCCAGTGGCCCCACCCCATCCTGAATGGGATTGAGATGAGCTCCAGGGTTCCCTGGCAAGACAGAGCCGGAAGAGCGCATTCTGACCACCAAAGCTGTCCCCAGGGCTGATGGGAAGGGGAGGATGAGTGATCAAGGAATGAGTCAGGTCAGTTCCGCTCAGCAGATGGTCATGAAAGCCTTCCTGTAAGGAGAGAAGCATGGCCCCAAGGTGAAGGGCCTGCTGTCATCCCTGCAGGTGTGGTGTTGGTTCTTGTATTCTGCCACTTACCCATCCAATCAAGGGGCCCCATTAGGGAAGGGCTCGCACAGGGACCTATAGATTACAGCTCAGGGAAAGGAGAGATCCTCCCATGGAGGTTTATCTGCTGAAAGCTAATTGTGTGGCAACAGTGTTGGCCACGATGGTAGAGTATATCTTACACTAGTTTCTGCCTGGAGTCTAGAGGGCTGGTTCTGAGAAGCAGATCGTGTGACCAATGAGCAGCAGGAATATTGACCAGTCTCTCTGGGTTGGCCTTCCTGCATGAGGATAAGAAACAGTAGGAAGCCTGGGCCCAGAAAGTACCAGAAGGAACAGAGTTGGCTGCCACATTGAGACACAGGGAAAACGTGGCTCAAGGATTATCGAAGGCCCTGAACACTCGCACTGGAATCCCTTCCCTTGTATGAAAGAGCCACCGAAGAGAGTGGAAGAAGGGCAAAATCTCCTTCTAAGCCCTGACCTTTATAGGGAGAAGAGACAGAAGGTCGTTTTCCCTACACAGAAATGTGGGAATCCAAGTGAGTCTAATCAAGGAAGAGACTCACTGAGCCCCTAAAGGATTATGGAGTGAATGGGAGTTTATAAGGAGGAAAAGGGTGTTCGGAGAACTCTCATGAAATAGGCAGTATTTGAGCCAGCTTTGTATGATGCAAGATATTTCAACTGATGGAAATGGAGAAACGTGAACACAGGTAGGAAAAGTGAGGGGGATGCTTGAGGAATGGCTCCTGCTCATTGAGAAGCAGGTCATCAGGAGAGCACTGGTGTGGCAAAGACTTGGCGGGGCATGACGTGGCCATGAGGTGGCAGACGGAGAATGCCTGCGCAGGGGCCTGTGTCCTTTAACTGGCAGAGAATGGGGAGACAGCGAGTGTCTCTGAGAAAGGGTGACAAATGATGTGCCTGGAACTTCTCTAACCATGGCTTTGAGCGAGGTGTGCATGGGCAGGGGAGAAGCTCGAGGCAGGAGACCAGTGAGAATGCTGAGGCTGGCACTTAGGAAAGGGTGGAAGGAACGGAGAGCAGAGGTCACTGCTGTGGACCAGTCAACAGGAATTTAGAGATTCCAAGAGCTTTATAAATATGGATGCTTGTGTTCTGCCCCCAGAGATTCTCTCATTGGTGCAGGTGGGCCCTGGGCAGCCATGGTTATGGAAGTTCCCCAGGTGGGGCTAATGTGCAGCCACAATGAGAACCGCTGCTCAAGCCACCCCCTCATTTACCGCGGGGGCTAGTGAGGACCCTAGGAGTGAAAGGGCTGAACCCAAGGCTCCGCGTCTGGGACCCCAGAATCCTGATGTTAAAGCTAGCCTTCTTTTTTCAGCAACACAGTTCTGCAGCTGAGGTCCTGGTAAGAGGGAGAAAGAATAAAGAGCACTGAGATTTGGTGGGGAAGAACAATTTACAGCGCAGAGGAAGAAAGAAATGTAGCAAAGGAGACAAAGGAACAAAGGGGCCAGATGAGGCGGAGGGAGGAAGGGAGGTGGGGAGATCATGAACACTGTTGCAGGCTGCAAAGCGGTAAAGCAGGGCTGCCTGCTGAAAGGCCTTTGGGATTGACCGTTGAGAAGTCACTGGTCACTGAGAGGTCCGTGACCATGGGGAGGTCACTGGTCATCGGGAGGCAGCATAGCTTGGTAATCAGAATTCCAGAGCCAGACTGCCTGAGAGGCATTTATGGCCATGTGAGCACATTGTGTGTCTCCGCAAGCTTCCCAGCTTCAGGACCTTGGATATGTCCATCGGTGTCTCTATGCCTCAGGTTTCTCAACTGTAAAATGCTTACAATGTTAGTACTTGCCCATAGGGTTGTCAGGAGTTAACATGAGCTAATACTGTACATGTAAAGCACTTGGAATGGTGCGTGGCACAGTGTGTGTGTGTATATGACCAATACGCATTGACTCTCACTAGTGCTGTTACAGCCATGCGTAATCTTTGAGAAGCAGTTTGAATAAGATGTCGGGAGCAATGTGTCAGATGTCATACATTATGGGACTTCTGTACCTCGTACCTTGCCCCAAATGGCAATAACTTGTACCTCTAAATTAATTTGATTACCACATTTTAGCTGACTTCATTGGGTCCACTCTTACCGTGAAGAACATAACCCCCTGCATTGAAGTGGTGGCATGAGAAATTCTCCTTGTTTCTAGTGTCTTCTGATGGCCTCTCTACCTCGTCACCTGTGGGACCCCATCACTAGAGACTACATATTGGGTAGGGAAGGGGAAAGTGAGCCAGGAGACAGGGAGAGAGGGAAGAAGGAGCGGGGGAGGGGGGGAGTGGCTTATCACACCCCCTCTCCCCCCAAAGCACTCCCTAGATTACAGACCTCCCCAAATCACAGCAATGAGAGTCAAAGTCCATAAACCACCTGGTCACAAGCAACAGTCAGGGTGCGGAGGTCCTGGGAATCATCCTGTGTGTTATGCAGGTGGTCTGGCCACTGGGTGTCACTCTTAGCCTGTATTCATGTGGTATCAGGTTTCTGAAGAAGGTCTAGCATTTGCTGGTGTCCTTCCTCTTCCCATAGTCTCCCTCCCTGTGCTAGTATATTACTCCCTAAAGAGTACATTCATTCATTCATTCATCCATCCATTCATTCATTCATTCATCCACTCATCCATCCAACCATCCATCCATCCATCCTCCCTCCCTCCCATCCATACATCATCCATCCATGCATCGATCCAACTGTATTTATTTAACCAAATTGGGACAATTAAGAGTGAAATTTCACAGAAGCTGTTTTGTGAGACAGGTTTGGTCTGTGCCTCTGACACATGGGAAAGGGATCCTGTTTTTCCAAGGAGGCAAAGTTGGGGGTTTCCTTTTTTTAACAGCACATATTTCACTATCAGCTACCTAGTTTCACAGCAACAGCAGCTGGAAAACCAGTTCTTAAAACGTGGGGGCAGGCATTCTGTCTAAATAGACATGGTATTTGTTTTGGCCAGAGTGCCTTTAGAGATTTAAAAGCTTCTGATGGTGACAGAATGCCAGACCATTCTTTTCTTTTGATTTTGTGTTTTTAAAGAGTATTTGGTGTGTGTGTGTGTGTGTGTGTGTGTGTGTGTGTGTTGAGGGAAAAATGTCTTTAGATATAACTGAAGACCCTTTTTTACTCCTTCTGACTTTTGCCTTCTGGTCCTGATTCTTACCCCAGGGGCAGACTCTATTTGAATTTGATATGTATCCTCCCAGTCCTTATTCTGATACATTTTAGGAATAGATGTTCACTTGCAAAAACAACAACAACAACAACATACTAGAGTTTTGTGTATTTAAAAATGTATATACATGGGTTTTTTTTTCTGTAACTGGCCTTTTTTTCAGTTGATAGGGTAAATTTAGGATATTCACATTATAGTAGATATAGTTCATTTCACCAAAGTGTTACTTAAAGGAAATGTATACATTGAAATGTGTAAATTAAAAAATAAGCAAAACTGAAAAATTAATGCACTCAGTATCAGATAAAAGAACATAAGAGTAAAGCCAGTATTTCATAGTATTAGAAGTTTGAAAAATTCTGCTTCTTACATCCCCTTTTTTATACTTCATATTGTTTATCTCTGCCTTTTTTTTATTAAAGAATTTTTAAAAAATATTTATTTATTTTTGTGAGAGAGACAGAGTATGAGTGGGGGAGAGGCAGAGAGAGAGGGAGACACAGAATCTGAAGCAGTTTCCAGGCTCTGAGCTGTCAGCACAGAGCCGGACACGGGGCTCGAACTCACGGAACGCGAGATCATGACCTGAGCCGAAGTCAGACACTTAACTGACGGAGCCACCAGGTGTCCCTATAATTCCATTTCTTGCGGCATCTATTTTTGCTGATGATAAGTTTGCTGTTAATCTCACAGCCATTTCTTGGCAGGTAGGCACCTTTTTTCCTCATTTTTTAAAGGTTATTCTTACTAATGGTTTGTACTACGATATACCTAGATGTGATTTTTCTGTTACATATTTATCGCAAGGTGTCCACTCCCTTGTTCACATCATGTATCTTTTAGTAGTTATTTCACTGGAGATCTGTGAGTTGTAACTACTCTCAGTCTCCAGTCCTTGTTTGTCTTAAATATACTTAGAATATACTTGTGAATGATAATTTAGCTGAGTGTGGAATAGCCTTCAAAGTGGAGGGGAAAATAACTATTAATATAAAATTTCAAATCTGTTTGGCCAGGGTTTTGTCCATTTTATGAATCCTCAGAAACAACTTTTCTGATGTTGACCATCTTTATTGTTTCTTTGTTTTCTATGTCACTAATTTCACATTTACCTTTATTGTTTTCTTCTACTTTATTTGTTTTTATTTCCTTAATTTATGCTCTTATCTTTTCTGTTTAACTTTCATCCTGTAAATCGAACAGTCAAGTAATAGATCGTTGAACCCAGAAAGAAGGATTAGGAGAAACAGGAAACATGAGAAGACCGATAACCCTAAAGAAATGGAAGTCATGTTAAAATTTTTATTATTTTTATTTATTTTGCTTAGGACGTGGTGTACTTCTTCAATTTGAAGACTCATGTCTTTCTTCAATTCTGGAAAATTCTCAGTCATTCTCCCTTTGAATATTGCCTCTCTCTCATTCTTTTTAGTCTCTCTTCCGGAATATTCCTATCAGAGGTATGTTGGACTTGCCATTCTATCCTCAATCTCGCTTAATCGGTTCTTTTCCATTTTTCATCTTTTTGTTCTTCTAGGTGCATTCTGGGTGGTTTCCTCAGAACCGTCTTCAGTTTCACTAATTCTCTCCTCTGCTGAGACTAAACCTGCCGTTTAACTCAACTCGTGTCGTCCTAAGTGTCCATGCCTTTATTTTCATGTCTAGAATTTGTATTTTGCTATTTTTCACATATACTTGTTTCTACTGACCAGGTTCATATTTTCTCCATAGCTTCTATTCAGTCTTTTATTTCATCATGTTAACCATGCCTATTATAAATTACTCTTCAGGTTGTTGCTATTTCTAGCTTTTGTAGTGTTCATTTACCTATTTGTGCACCTGCTGGCACTCATTGTCCATGGCTCCTTTCCTCGCGTTTGTATTTTTGGTTATGTGAACGAATTCCCAACATTTTAAAACATGGTCTCTGCATGAAGCTGGACTGAAGAAAACATCCCAGCAGAGCAGTTTTGGCATTTGTTTTCCTTGAAAACTTAGGAACTCGAGGAAACTCAAGGTCCAGAGCTGGTTTTTCAATGTTAAGTTCTCTGACTCTGATACCTCCATTGTAGAGTGTAATTCAGAGCCCACACCTTCTAATGGTGTGAGTCCAGGTGTTTGATTTTTTCCAGAGACTCACACAGATGGAAAGTGTGTTGTTGGCAGGCAAGTTTTCCCATCTCCTCTTTACAGAAGTTGTAGTTCTTCCAGACTTCAGGCTCAAAGGGAGCTCAAAGCTATGTAGGGAGCTCAATTCAGCTTCCCGGCTTCACATAGACTCAAAGTCACATCTCCTGTCCTTGTGTGGCATTATAAGGTGAGCCCCAACTCTGAGGGCAAGTATCCCAGCTGAGAACTCCTGGGGTCTCGGGGCCATCTGCTCTGGCTTCTCAACTTGACTTTGGTTTCTCCTTTTGTTTCTGGCTCCCAGGCATTTCCTTTGCTTCCTTTCAGGTTAAAGAACGTATGAGAATATTCATCCATGTCACGTTTTATCTAGGATTTGTCTGTGTATGTGTGTGAGAGTAGCCCCCTGTGGAGCAGCTCAGCCTGCCCTATTTCTAGAAGTCCTACCATTCTGACCCAATTTCCATGCCAGGGAAACCCTAATGTAATTTGTGAGGCGTCTTGGACTCTTTCTAAATAGCTGGGACTCAGGCCATTAGCAGATCAGCTATGAGGCAACAGGCACACAGGCAGAAGATCACCGTTTCTGTCTCAGCTTGACCACTTTCTAGCTGTGTCATTCTGAGCATGTCGCTAAATGAAATAGCGAGTTCAGGAAATGCTGTGTAAAATGTAAGGGTTCTACAGAGATTTGAAATCCTATAATTTTTTTTTTTTAATCTCAGCTAAGTTTAGCTGTAGATTTCAGCTAGGTGCTCTTTTGAGGATGGCTGCTCTCATGGTCTGGGAGAATCTGGAAGTCAGGCCAGAGAGGTGCAGAGTCAGTGAGTGTCATGGAAAGAATCCTGGGCCCGGTGTCAGGACAGAGCTTTCGTGTCCGTTCTGCCACGAACTGGTGGTGCCACCTTGAGCCGTTCACATTAGCTCCTGGCCTTCTCATCACCGGGTTGACCTGAGTTCTGGGGACAAATGTAGGTGGCAGACCACAGCATTCTCATCCCTGTTCCTCCCTCAATTCAGCCTGAACTAGAGAAGCTCTTTTTACATCCTGCTGTACCACTTCCTAACCACCAACTTTATTTTTCTGTGTGTCAGTGTCATCCTCTGCAAAAAGTGATAAGAATACCTCCTGCCTCAGAGGGCAATTGTGTAGACTATATGAGCTCAGACGGTCTGATTCACGATAAGCTCCCCACCCCCCAACTAGTAGCCGTTATTAACTCTCGGGCCTTCCAAGTTATTTTTGTTTAAAAAAATGGATTCTGAGGTTTAAAAAAAACCCAGCCTGATTTAGACCTGAAAGAGATCTTAAAAATTGTTCAGGTAGATTCTGGATTGAATTCTTTCCAAAGCACTTCTAGTTTCCACAGTAAGTATAGGGATCTCTATTATCTGCAGTCACTTCTTGCCGCCCTTGACCTTCCTTCTCCCCACTTCCCATCCACTCTCTGAATGCCACAGAGTGCTTTTGTTCTGTGTCGTGAAATGAGATGGCAGCAGTTGTGAAAATTCCCTTTTGACCATAGTCAAACTTTCTTCATCGCTCCTCTAGATTGTGCCACCCGTCCCTGACAAAGAAATATCTCTTAACGGTCCCTTTTCAACCCTTCCCTTTGGGGGCAACCAATTCCTCTTTCCATTAAAAATGGGCACCGGGTGGTCTCCAAGAAAGGGGAGGCGTCGAGAGAAGGGCCTTTGTTTTTCTTGAGAGATGGAGTTTCAACAGGAGGGGTGTTTTCGTCTCCGCTTCGACCTGTTCAGCAGCAGCATAGCTCATCTCTTCACGAGTGGGGTGCAGATAGCTTTTCTTCCTTGGCAGGAGAGGCAAACACCTTATGCAACAATGAGCTGAGGAGTCTGATTTCAGCTATGGCAGGCGAGTTGGCGGTTTCTCTGTGGCCTTCGCTATATCCTGGGCTGGAGAGAGAATGGCTGCGTCTGGGGCCTGGCACCGATCAACATCCATGTCTTTTGTCTCAATGCAGGAACAAGAGCTCCGCGTTTTTCAGCGATGAGGAAAGATGCTCTCTGTGGGTCCTGGGAAGTGACAGGAAAGCTGAGTGTGCCAGCTTTCTCCACACCCTTGCTCATACTGACATAGCGTCTGTCTACCGGCTTAGTGAGTATTTGCTCCTCAGACCCCTTTGAAAGCTCAGCTCAGCTGAGCAACTGGTTGAGCAATCTGGTTGAGGACTCAACCAGTTGCGAGGTCAACCAGATTGAGCCTTCCGTTCTAATCTTGGAGAAGAAAACTGCCTGAGTTGAGACTGAGGTCTCTTCCCCTAGGGCTGAAGGGGGTCTAGGTCCCCAATGATAAAGGCAGGACTGTAGAAGGTTACAGGTTCTAAGAGGTGATTTCTCCTCTCATTTTATAGATTGGAAATTGAGTTCCTGGTGAATTTGTGCCTGAGCCAGGCCAAGAACCGCCTTTCCCCATTTTCTAGTCAGGACCCTCCCTCCTCTACCACACTGGCCCCAACACAGAAATGACATTCGTCTGTTGGGGTGTGTTGGCTTTGGGTGGGGGAGGGACCTCAGTGCTGGCAGTTTTCATCAGTTTCTGCATGACTGATTGAGCGAGCGACTGCCACTCCTTTTCCTTATTTTGGAAAGGCCCGCTGCTCTGTGTCAGGAAGGACGTTCACCCTTTGACAGTGGTTTGAGTGGTTTGAGTGGTTCTCCCATCTCTTCAGTGATGGTGATATTGTGTCCACCCCTGTGTGGCCAGATCAGATGGGGCACAGTTCACGGGCCCAGGACAGAGAATCTGCCGAGGGAACACACAGGCCCGCTCCCTGGAGCAGAGGTGGGCATTAGAATCTTTCACCATGCACAAGGAGCACTTGTGAGGAGCACCTAGCCCAGGCGTCTGCATCAGCCCTGGCAGAACTTTCTTGCCACAAACAGGTCACACCCCCTACCAGGCTGGACCAGGAAGCTGAAGCTGTGGACGTTGTCTGGCAGGGGTTGCTGAGGTCCGACAATCCAAGACTACTTTGGGTCTGCCTTCAGCAGGGGCAGGCCACGGACTTGGATCTAAGGGATCCACCAACCGTTGATCCAATGATTGGGAGAGATCTAGGAGCAGGTCCCGGGTAGCCGAGAGCCTAGCGGTTATAAAGGTTTCCACTGTCACCAAGGCAACCAGCAGAGGGGCATCCTGTTGGTAAATTCCAGCTTCCTCAGGTCCTGTGCCCCAGGAAGGAGTGCCTCTGGGTACTTCTTCCTCCCAGAGGGAGCATCTTTTTGCAACTCACGCACCATTTGTGTTCTTGGTGGCCCTGCCCTGGAGAGATATGGCTGCAGTGAGACTCTCATGTGCTCTCAACGTCAGGGAGGGCCAGGGCACAACGGTAGCTCTCCAGAGCCCGGTTTCCTATCTCTCCCACATTTGGCCATGGGGCCTTCTACCCTTCAGAGCTTACAGATCTCAAGTATGTACAACGACTCTCACAGAGAGTGGTAGGCCGAGGCTTGACTTGGTGAAGGGCCTGCTGTCCTCAAAGTTCATTGGAGAGCGCAGAGTGAGGGCACAGGCAGCTGTTGTTTCTCTGCCAGGAAGAGTTAGAATCTTATTTCCAGAAGCCCCTGTCCCATGGAGACGAACCTGGTCTTCGCTTCCACAGTTGTACCATGACTGCTTTTGCTAAGAGAGTTAAGTTCTTTGCTGCCAAACTCAAGGTGTCTTCTTGGTTCTCGACTAGCCTTCTTCCACTTTTGTGACGTCAGGCGATGGTCCCACAGGCACCTTGGTCTCTGTGTCTCTTTTCTCTCGGACTGTGCCTTTCCAGTCTCCTTCACTGCCTCCCACCTGCCGGGAGATGCTGGTGTTTCTCTGGCTCATTCACAAACTCCCCTCCCCCAGCTGCTTTGCTTTCTTGTCCAAACACTTCTCCTAGGACCTGGGCCCATTCCTTGGGATGGGCTGTGGGTCCTCAATCTGTATTTGCAAGTCTCAACTTTTTTCTTTGGCTACAGATCTACTTCATTCTCAGCCTAGAGCCCCTGCGAGTACCTCAGACTCAAAATATCTAAATGCTGTTCTCAACACTGTTCCTTCGACCTCATCCCATGAGGTTACGTGAGGACCAAAACCAGGACGCTCAGTGGCCTCTTCACTCTAGTTGCTTCATTAGTCACCCTTGGTCACCTAGTCCCGTGTCCCATTGTACATACTGGATCAATGACTGTTGAGAAGGTGAACGATGAACGAATGGAGGAAGGAAGAAGGAAGGGTGTCCACGTGGCATGATGCCACATGCCACAAAGTGCACCATGCTTGGGAGTTTTGATCATGGCTCTCTTGTCATCTGCCTGGGAGATTTGAGCCTTTAGATTTTGTCATCCTCCCCATTCCCACACCTCCTAGAAGAGAGCTCGTGTTTCTAGCTTCTCCACTTTTCTTTTCTGGCTCTGGGTCTTATTTCTACCTCAGTGCCCAACCGTGAAGTGAGTGGCTTAAACAAGATGCTCTCCAGGTCCCTACAGCTCTTAAGCTGATGATAAAGGAGAAGATTCTTCCCAGTTTCTTAGAGAAATTTAAACACAAAGGGTCCTGAGGGGACCACGGGTCTGGGGTATATACCTGCAGGCCTAGGCATGGTGGCCTATTCTGACCTAACATCAGGTCTGTCTTTCCTCTCCATCCAGGTGGGTTTGAATCCATCCAGAATCTTCCAAACGATCTAAGTGGTGAGTAGAGATCATGCCGAACCTGACCTCCGGTCCTTCAGAACAGCCTCCTGCCCTCTTGCCAGGAGCTGGCCACCACAGTGGCAGGTGCTTAGGGTTGCCCAACTCTGCCTGTCCCTTACAGCGTCCCAGCCTGAAGGCTTCAAGGAGGCCAGGACTGGTAGAGCCTGGGAGGAGCATCAGGCCGTGGGCTCCAGACAGTCCAGCAGTTCCGAGGACTCCAGCCTGGAGGAGGAGCTCCTCTCAGCAGCCTCAGACAGCTATCACTTGCCAGAGCCCGATGACCTCGATGACCCAGAACTGCTCGTGGACCTAAACACTGGTCAGGAAGAGGAGGAGGCTGAGAATTTCGCCCCCATGCTGGCGTTTCTGGATCACAAGGGCTACGCTGACCACTTTAGGAGCCTCTACGACTCCTCCTTCTCTTTCCTCACGTCTTCCTTTTACAGCTTCTCTGAGGAGGACGAACTTGTGGCCTACCTGGAGGCCTCAAGGAAGTGGGCCAAGAGGAACCACATGACCTGGGCCCATGCCCGGCTCTGCTTCCTCCTGGGCCGGCTGAGCGTCAGGAGGGTCAAACTCTCTCAGGCCAGGGTGTACTTTGAGGAGGCTATGTACATCCTCGATGGGGCATTTGAGGACCTATCCTTGGTGGCTGCTCTGTACATCAATCTGGCTGCCATCTACCTGAGGCAGAGGCTGAGGCATAAAGGCTCAGCCCTGCTGGAAAAGGCAGGTGCCCTGTTGGCCTGCCTGCCTGACCGTGAGTCCAGCACCAAGAATGAGCTTGACGTTGTGGCCTATGTGCTACGCCAGGGGATTGTGGCTGGCAGCTGTGTCCTGGAGGCCAGGGCCTGCTTCCTGGCCATCCGATTGCTCCTGGACCTGGGCCGGCATGAGGAGGTCCTGCCCTTTGCCGAGCGTCTGCAACTCCTCTCCGGACACCCTCCTGACCTGGATGCCGTGGCCACCATCTTGAGTTTTCTGTATGATAAGAAATACCTTCCACACCTTGCGGTGGCCTCTGTCCAGCAACGTGGTACCCAGAGTGCCCAAGGGATGTCCCTTCCAATTTGGCAGGTCTACCTGGTTCTCCAGAACACCGCCAAGCTCCTTGGAGTTCCCTCTTTAAGCTGGGGCGAGGTTTCTGCCCTGGCCTGCCCAGCGCTCAGGCAGGCGCTGGTTGCCTGTGAAGAGCAGGCCAGTCGGAGCACCCAGAGGGCCCTGTGTCTCATCCTGTCCAAAGTGTACCTCCAACACAGGTCTCCTGATGGCGCCATCCACTACCTGAGCCAGGCCTTGGTGCTAGGACAGCTGCTGGGTGAGCAGGAGGCCTTCGAGTCTTCCCTGTGCCTGGCGTGGGCTTATCTCGTAGCCAGCCAGGCAAAGAAGGCTTTGGACATTCTTGAGCCGCTGCTATACTCTCAGAAGGAGATGGAGAGCATCACCCAAAAGGGGGTGGTCCATAACCTCCTGGGCCTTGCACTTCAGGGTGAAGGCCGGGTGAACAGGGCAGCCAAGAACTATCTCCGGGCTTTGAACAGAGCTCAGGAAATGGGGAACGTGCGTAACCAGGCGGTGACTTTGGCCAATCTTGGCCACCTGACTCTCAAGTCCTGGGCTCGGCAACCAGCCAAGGACTATCTCCTGCGGGCCGTCCGACTCTATTCTGAACTCCAGACCAGCGTGGAGACAGACATGGAATTAGTACAGGTGCTTCTCTGGTTGGCCCAAGTCCTGGTGTCTGGACGTCAGCTGGCCAGTGGCCGCCTTTGTTACGAAATGGCATTGCTGTTGGGCTTAAGGCATCGGCACCTAAAGAGTGAGTATGTCCCACGCTGTTGCACGCTTCAGAGAAAAGTGTACAATCACGTTTTGCCCTCGTCCTATCTCAAGTGATCTCATTCATGTCCCTGCTTTATGTTCAGGTCAGCTTCAGGTCACCAAATCCCTCTGCCATTTCTACAGCTCTGTTTCCCCAAACCCCGAGGCATGCATCACCTACCATGAGCACTGGCTGGCCCTAGCTCAGCAACTCAGGGACCGAGAGATGGAGGGGAGGCTGCTGGAGTCCCTCGGGCAGCTCTATCGGAACCTGAACACGGCCAGGTGAGTCTGGGCTCGGGGACAGTCCTGGAAACAGCTTACCTTCCTTGAGGAGAAGCAGCACTCTTTTCCTCAGGACGTGAAGTTCACATGCACATTCGAACAAGTTCTCTAATTTCTCTGTACCTCAGCCTCCTCATCAAAGATGAGAACGGTGGCATAGACCTTATAGTATTAAAAAAAAAAAGTTTACTTATTTATTTTAAGACACAGAGAACAGGGGAAGGGCAGAGAGAGAGGGAGACAGAATCCGAAGCAGGCTCCAGGCTCCGAGCTGTCAGCATAGAGCCCGAGGCGAGGCTCAAACTCACAAACCGCGAGATTATGACCTGAGCCGAAGTCCGAGGCTTGACCGACGGAGCCACCCGGGTGCCCCAAGGGGGCCTAATTTAGAGAGGTGGCAGTGATACAGGACTGGACCCCTCAGGAGGTCTTGGTTACCTGTGGACAATGGGTAATAGAGAAAGGACACAAAGTAAGTCAATCCACTGGTGGGGGGCAGGTGGGTAAAATTTGACAGTAAAAACATTTGATTTGCAACCTTACCTTTAAAATGCATCTGGAAGTGATGGGCCTCAGTTTATTTTCACCTTTTAGTTAAGAGACTTAGGTAAGAATTGCAACCATGCAATAAGTCATAGAATAAACAGCAAAAGAACTGTTGACTTTTAGCTCAATTGTGTGCACAAGATTGCATAACAGCACGATGGGATATCCTTTGTTTTACGATTGACTTTTCAGCCCTCTCTTAAAAAGCCTCCTCTTTGCAAAAATACACCAAACCTTAACTGTTTTACCCCAAAGCTTCTTTTAACCCCTTGACCTTTGAATCATTCTCACGTGAAGCATCCTGCTATCTTCTGCTGGTTTTCTCTTCTCTCACGTCCACACTGGGTCCAATCGGCCTACTCCTCATTCACCAGCGGTGTGGCCGGCTGTTCTGCTTTCCAGCAGGCCTTCAATTGATTCCATTACATTCTGCATGGTTTGCAAGAGATCTGACTTCATTTTGCAACAGATTAGCAGTGTGGCGTTGTACTCACAATTATGAATGACATCTAAAATACGGCAGGGATAATTGCCAGTGTTGAGCAGAGAGAGAGGTGGTTGGGGAGAAGCTAATTGAATGACAAACGTTGCTTCTCTAAGGCAGCATGGCAACCTGGGGCATCAGGGCAGCCAGATCACTAATAGTCAGATAATAATCTCTCTCTGTTCCCCTCCCTCTGTCTCCCTCTCTCTCACCCTTTTCCTCTCTTGCAAGAATCGGGTGTCCTCTAAACCTCCCGCCATCTTTGCCTTCAGTTCTAGGACGGGAGGTTTGGATCCTTGCAGCGTGTGAGGGGACAGGAGGTGTGGCCCAGAGCGACACCGCTTCCATTCCAGGACGCCCCATGAATGTCCTTTTAGTGAGGAGTGGATTTTTGGCGGTCCTCATTCTATCATTCTGGAAGTTGATCCAGATGGGGATCTTTTAATCCTCATATTCTAGAATTCTAATCTCTGAGCTTCTGATCTGTACAACTCCCTTTCTTCTGCTTTCCCACTAATGTGAGTGATATGAAGAAATTTAGGAAGTGCCTTAGGTGTCAGAGGAAAGCCCTGCAAACATAAGGTCATCATCCCTTTGCAGAAAGCTCAGTTCGTCAAGGAGAACGTGCTACAATGCGATATTTATTTAGCAGGTATAAATTACCTACTCCTGCAAGGCGCTTAACAGACACAGAGAAACAGGAATTTGCATACACCTTGAGGTGGTTACTGTAATTTAGCTCTAAGCTTCCTGGTAACTGAGGGAAAAAGGGGAAAGCCACAGGAGGTTCTCATTGTCTGATTAAAAAAAATAAACAAATGTGTCTGTTGGAGCAAATGCTTTTCTGGCACTTGTTTCTGGGAGGCTCTTATTAAGTGGGTCTTGATGTATGGACAGAGTTCTTCCACGAAACTCTCCCTGTGGGATTTCCGTATTCACGACGCTCAAAGGCAGGAAGGGTTCCTGGGTGAGGATGGCAGGCATCTGCAGGGGAGGGTTTGGAGGGAAAGAAGAGGAGGGTTGGGGAAGACTTCAGGAAGGTGGTAGCGTGTGAAGAAGGTCTTAAGGGATTGGTAAGATTTCGGAAAGCGGAGGAGGGGAAGAGAATAGTGGGAAGGGGGGACCCATCTGGAAGACACTGTGTAGGTTTGATGAAGTTTGGTGTTCAAGTGGATATGGGTAGTAAGGGAGAGAGAGGCCTTCGGCCTGTCCCCTAGGAGGGGATGCGGAGGTGGGCTGGGCTGGGGAGGGCCTCCGGACTGGCACAGCGGGCAGCCATAATGGAAATGGTGGCCGGAATAGTAGCTAAAGGCCTTCACGGCGAGCATGCAGCATTTACCAAGATACGTGTCATCTCAGGATAACTGCACAAATATCCACAAAGACCTGTGGGAACTGAGAACGAAGGAAGCCAAGTAATTTGAAGCTGCGCAGTCGGGGTTGATACCCAGGTTGAGTCTAGCACAGGGGTTGGCAAACTTTTTGTTAAAGGTCAGACAGGAAGTGTTTTAGGCTTGGTGGCCATGTGGTCCCGGTCACGACGACGCTGAGGTTGCGTTGCCTTGTGAAAACAGCCGTAGACTACGTGTGGGAGGGAGTGCGGCTGGGTTCACTGAGATTTGGCTTACAAAAGCAGGAGAAGGCTGCATTGGCTCATGAGCCATAGTGTGCCAACCCCCGGTCTAGAGTCCATATTCGTAACCACTCTGTATGTATTCTGCCTGTTCGGTCAGCAATTTCCCCCCCAGATAAACTGTTAGTGTGGATGGCTATAGCGTGAAGGCTCCAGGAGTTGTATAGATGAGCAGGGCCTCACTGTTCATCTGGTCTGATCCCTGTCTGCTCCAGAGAGTCCTGGCTGCTGACCCATGTGGTTTCACCGGTAGTAGCTCAGATCCCGGATTCCTCCATTTATGGTGGTTTCACTACCTCATGCTCCCTTTCTACTCATGTCAATTCCTCCTATTCGAAAGGTTTTCTGTAGGGTTTAGAGGTGGAGGATGGTAGGTGAGGGCATACAGACGGAGAAAGCTGCGGCCCAGCCTTTGGGTGTTTGCCTTGGAATACTTTGCTGTCCCTTTGTCCAGGACTGTCGGGGTCTTGCTATCTCTGCCTCCAGGGTGACAGCTACAAGACCTAGTGTTTCCAGTCTCTCAGTGGGCAGGGCCCTTGGGCATCTTGTTTTCTGTCTTCAGGTGACCTAGTACAGCCTGTGCCTTGTACTGAACCAGGTGGGACCCATGGGAATTTTGAGGCTCTATTGAACCCAGCCGACAAATGTTCACTGGGCGTTTATTATAGCCCAAACACCTGACAGAGAGCTATAGTCCCTGAGCTCACAATGCTTACAGTTCAAGATATTGACAATATTCACATACATATTTGCCGAAGGTATCCTATGAATTGTGGTAAGGGCCACCAAGGATGTGCATGTTATTTTTAGAAAGAAGACATGCCTGTATGCAACAAGTCTTCACGAAGTAATTCTTTGCGTGTGGATAGAATAGTCGCCGGAAGTCAGTATTCCTTATTCTTATTCTTATGCTTCTTACTCCTGTGGAATGAACAAAGAAACGCTTCGCCATTTGGTTTTCGGTGTAACTAATACAACCAACCACGAACATTTCTGTAACCCTGAACGAGGGAGGCACTGCTCTCACTGACGTGTCACGTGATCACGGGGGCTGGGACGTACATCATCACCCCTACTTTGGCAGGTGAGGAAACCTTGTTCGAGGCTGGAAGTAGCTTATGCTCTTCCCAAACTTCTAGGTTGTTAAAGGAGTTAAAAAAAAAAAGCAGAAGCCCTCCCATGTGCTGATTTCTGAGCCCGAGACTGAGCGCTGCTTGAGGGTGTGTGTGGGGTTCTGGAGTCAGATTGTCAGGGTTAGACTCTGGTTTAACGTTTATCTGTGCTGAGCCGTCAGCACAGAGCCCGACGTGGGGCTCGAACTCACGAACCGCGAGATCATGACCTGAGCCGAAGTCAGCAACCCAACCGACTGAGCCACCCAGGCGCCCCAGACTCTGGTTTAAACAACGTCTATTACCTGGTCCCTGTCACTTACCCTTTCTGAGGCTTATTTTTCCCTATTCGTAAAGTGGATATAATACCGGGACTAGCTGCATAGGGTTGTTTTGATGATTAAGTGAGATAAGGCATGTCAGGTGCTCAATAAATGTCAGGGAATGATTACTGTCACGTATTACAAGATCAAACAGCAGAGGGCTCAACCTAAATCTTTAGAAATGAACAGTGCCAACTTGGACAAATTAAAAAAAAAAAAAAAAACCCTCTGAGTTTCTTTATTTGCACAATGGGCTAAGATCCCTCATGGCTTAATGTTTCTGAGGTTTAAATGACAGAATGGACATTAAAATTCATATCCCAACACCTGGCATGGGTCAACCCTCGGTGAGTGGCCGGTCTTATTGTGGAAACAGGGCAGGACCAATGAGTGGAGGCTGGGCCAGAGGTCAGACACTCATTCAGGCAGGGCAGGGATCTGGAAAGCCCCAGCAGGGGATGGAAAGAGGAAGTCTGGGAATGCAGGTGCATGAGAGTCACTTGGCCACAAGTTCATGGCTGATGTCCAGGTGGGAAGGAAGGAACAAGGACTCAGCTGTAGAGAATGAACTTCAGGGGCAGGAAAAATGGGAAACAGAGGACTCAAGATTGGAGAGGAGAGATACTCAGGCAAAGCCTTGGCAATAGGTGGCCCGGAAGAGCATGACGCTCGGGATCAAGGCTGATCAGATGCTGTCCCACCAGCCAGGCTCCTTACTTCTTTTGATTTGGGAGCTAAGCCACACCTAGGGGCTGCAGGTGGTGGCTGATGGAACTGGAATGCTGGGCCATTCCAGGCCAAGCCAGTGGCTCATCAGGTGAGTGATGGAGCACAGCCACTGGCATAGGCAAACAACTGGGCAGTGATGGGTGACAGGATAGGACCAAGGAGGCTGGAAACCACCTTCCATTTTCAGACCTTCGGGCACTTGTTTTCACTGGGCGTCACGGATCAGATGTACGTCTTGGAGGCAGGCAGTGGTCTCTGGGAAACCCTGTATGCACGAGGAGTCTTGATGGTGCTGTGTGAGCAGTTAGGTTTCTGTAAGTCCTGGCTTCCCCTGTGGGGTGTTTCTTGGAGAGAAATCCTGATGGCTCATCCACAGTCATAGTGAGCTCGGAGAGAAAAGGTCTAAGAAGCAAAGTTCCATTCCTCTTCTGCGATCGGCTTCTTTGTAATAACCCACGTCTTGCTCCCTGGGGGTCTGGAGAAAACAACCATAGCTTAAGGGTCTCCCAGGACAGCAAACAGTAATAAACAAAAACAGAGGAGGGAATAGGAGGATGAGATGTAGGAGTCCTGTCTTCATCAACTGTTCCAGTGGGAGTGGGGAGAGCGGGGCTTGGAAACTCTGCTTGAGGTCTGGGGTGGGGGTGCGGAGCGGGTGAGAGAAGATGGGGCCCCCGTTTATCCTAGCTCAGCCAGGCAGGCTGGTGACCAGCTCAGCACTATGTGCAGCTTCTCAGCTCACAGCCAGGAGAATGTCACAGTCTGACATTCTAATACTTGAGAGAGGGTGGCCTGTGCCCATCCTGAATGCCCTATCAAGAGCTGGGCAGTGGGGGGAAACCCGAGTTCTTTCTTCTCAGGAGTTGCAAGGGCCAAATGCCTGGCACTTTCTCCAGAAGGCCAGTAGCTGCCTCGTTGCCAACACGAACCAGGGCCTCATTAGTCAAAGGCAATGCTTGTTTTCATCACTGTGCACAATGATGAGATGGTAACCACGTTTGATGAGGACCTCCTAACTGTGCATACACTTGGTTGATGATGATCCGTGTTTCTAGAAGGATCTTTATGGTTTGGAGTAGTTGTTCTCAGATTTTGATGTGCGTGGACATAACCCCTGGGTTATTAGGGTGTGTTAGGGTGCACCTGGGTGCATTAGGAATCCAGATTTGGAGCTTGCACCTGCCATGATTTGGACTTAGTGAGTCTGAGGTAGCTCTAGGAGTCTGTATTCTTTAAAAAAATTTTTTTAATGTTTATTTATTTATTTTTGAGACAGAGAGAGACAGCGCATGAATGGGGGAGGGTCAGAGAGAGGGAGACACAGAATCTGAAACAGGCTCCAGGCTCTGAGCTGTCAGCACAGAGCCCGATGCGGGGCTCGAACTCACGGAGCGCGAGATCACGACCTGAGCTGAAGTCGGACGCTTAACCAACTGAGCCACCCAGGCGCCCCTAGGAGTCTGTATTCTTAATAAGCTCCCAGATAATGCTGCTGCAGGAGGGCCACGAGTCTCAGAGGAATGTGGGTGCTGTGAAATGAGTTCTGGGCCAGGACTCAGGAGAAGGGAGTTTTGGCCTTGGAGTTTCCCCCAATGTGTTGTGCAATCTCGTGCAAATTACTTCCCACTCTTGGCCTGTTTCCTCTATAACATAAGGGACTGGGCTGGATCTCCAAGTTTCAACCCAGGTTACACAATGAAGTCACTATCGAGCCTTGACTAAATCCTCCCACAGTGTCCCAGGCCTAGCATGGCATGTCAACACCTTGGGGTCACTTTGCCTGTGTATGTGTGCTTAAAAAGCTTCTGGGTGATAATTGCTGCTGGAATGGAGAAATACTATCTAGATGATGCCCCGTGTTCCTTCTTGTTCTAGAATTCCGAATCTGCGCCACACTACATAGCCTGTGCGACATTTCTTCTTTAGTCCCTGTCATGGGGGAAGAGTTTCGGATGTAAGACAATTTTCCAGATAATTCGAGTCCTCCGATAAACACCAACCTTTTAAGACTTGTTGCCCTTGTTCGATTTTTCTTCTCAAACAAAACATCTAAATCTTTTTGATGATGTAAAGTTACCACTGTGCTCATTCATTCGCGCTTTTATTTAATAAATATGCATTTGGTATCCACTGTGTGTTAGGTGCTTATGGCAAAAAATGTTACGGTGTAACATCCAAAAGATGGATGTGGGCCATGGGCCATGATAATGACTCTGATAACTAACCTGTGAATATTCATCACTGTTACACTGTTTCTCCATCCGAGCATTCCAGCTTCACCATCTCACTGAATCCTCCCAATAACCCTCGGAGGCAGGTACAATGACACCCCCATTTTACAGATGGGAAACTAAGGCACAGAAAGCTTCTATACTTTCTCAAGTTCACACAGATGTTTGAAGCTGAGCCAGGCCTCTGATCTCTCTGTGTGATCAGGGACAATCTGGTCCTGGACAATCTGGAGGGTCGCTCCCTCCCAGAGCCTCAGTTTCTTCCTGTGCTGAGTGACTCCGAGGCCCCTTTGAGGGGGCCCTTGACTCACACCTAATGGTTCCATGTCTGCCCGCTCCCTCAACCCAGGTCTCTCAGGAGATCTCTCACCTGCATCAAGGAGAGCCTGCGTATCTTCATCGACCTGGGGGCGAAAGACAAGGCTGCCGAGGCCTGGCTCGGAGCTGGACGACTCCACTACCTCATGCAGGAAGATGATCTGGTGGAGCTGTACCTGCAGGTAAGTCTCCTGCAGAGCCCACCTGCCCCCTTGGGTCATCTGGGGAGACAGCGTACCCTCCAAAGCGACCAGCTGGAGAGAGGTGATGTCCATGCTGAGCCCTGGGAGGGAGGGGTGACGCTGGGATGTCCCCTGGACACAAGATGGAGCCCAGAGTGGTCTGGTGACAGGTGGCCGGTCCCTGAGTCCCATAGGGACGTGTGGGCTCTCAAAGAATGTGGCAGGAGAGCCGCTCATCTGTCATGTCACGATCGATCTCTGCTAATCTCAACACAAACCTTGACTTCCGGGGTTTTGCGGCAATATGAGGCGAGGTTGATGAGTGCAGGGTGTTAACGTTATTGTCCTCTTCCAGTCTTTTTGTTTGCATCCCTTTAATGCCTGAGATATGGGACAGTGTAGTGATGAAAGGCCGGGGCTTTGCAGACAGACAGCCTGGAATCTGGTCACAGAGCCATCAAGTATGGACCGCGTGACCTTGGCCTGGCTGCACTGGCCACATCACAGGGCCTCGGTTTCTTCATGGGTAAACCCCATCTCTAAGGGTAAGGAGTATGTGTGTCACTTGTGTAGGAAATGCATATACAAAGCAAGCATTTACTAAGTGCTTGGGACTTAGTGAATTCTTAATAAATGGCATTTTATTTTTATTATCGTCATCATCATTGCTATTATCTGCACAGTGCCGACATTATGATGGTATACATCATTTGTTTCATTGGAAACATGTCATTTAGCTTTTCTTCCTTCCCTTTTCTTATTTTTCTCCCTTTTTATTCCCCTTATTACTTAAACCCACACAAAGTCACTTCCGCCGAGACTTAATGATGGTTATGTTAACAGTGAGCGCATGCTCACTGTGCAAACACATCACATACCTGCTGTAGTTTAACCCTCGTTCCGAATACAGCAGGAGTGTCTACTCCAGTTCCCATTTCACGGATGTGGCTCAATGAGGCTGAGTAACTTGCCCAAGGTGATACGGCTGGTAAGCTGTGAAAACTGCCCATGGGCCGTGTGACACAAAGCCTTCACTCTCAGCCTCCATGCTCTCCTGCCGTGGGACTTTAGAGCTGGAAGCTTTTTCAGAGAGCAGACAATTCGGCCTTGCCTTTCACTCTCCAGGACACGAGGCCCAGGGGCGGCTGTCTGGGGTGTGCATTTGCTCGGCCGGCAGAGCCCCCTGATTCCCGGATTCCGTCTCCCCACCTGTTTCTCTGTGCAGCAAGGCAATAACAATTACTGCCGGGTCTTCCCCAGGGACCCATTGGCCAGCCCTGGTCTCAGGCCCACGCAACCCCAGACCTGATTTTCTGCAGAGTTGTTCTCAACCTCAGGCCCTCTGAGGTCCCATAGCTGGGCTGCAGACGCTATGGTACATTCTTCAGCTTCCTCACTAAGTTTTGTTTACATGCAATGTGGAATCACTGGCTAGAGATAGAGAGGTCGTGGGAGCCAGGGGAAGGGTATCACGCTGGAAGACACTAGCATTTCTTTGGCAGTAACTATTATGTAAATGTAGAGAGTTTTCCTTATTCTTTCTGAGCCTCGGTTTCTCCAAACCGTCTGCAAAGTGTAGGTGTTGGATGAGATCGCTGGTTTCCAAACTCCAGTCATTTGTGTATGAAGTTAATGGTTTTGCCACGTTTATGTATTGCCTGTACCGTTATTATTTTCTTTGACTCAACTTCAGATCAACTCGATTTGATCAATTAGAGCTTTTTACACTAAATCACACTATCTGAAAGCACAGATTTGGATGCATTATTCATCTCTCCTAAAACATATTAAAATAAATACTTAACTATTGAAACACAAAATGCTTGTCTCTGTACTGCTAAAAAAATCATCTCAAGGGCTCCCCAAGTAATCTCTCATGCCACGATGGGAAATGGCAGACTAGGGAATCTCAAAGTCTTCTTACCAGCCCCGTGAGTGTGGACCACAATTCAACGTTCAGAGGATGTGAGCCGAGAGTTGAACCAGGTGGCCAGGACCTCGCTCCTGCTGGTCCTGTGGCCGTTTGGAAGTCTTCTCTGCCTTTGACAGCTGTCTCTGTCCCATCCAGGCAGCCATCCAGAAAGCCCTGAAGTCCGAAGAGCCCTCCCTGGCTCTCAAACTCTATGAAGAAGCGGGCGACGTGTTCTTCAATGGGACCCGCCACAGGCACCGTGCGGTGGAGTATTACCGGGTAAGTCCAGCCAGGCCAGCCAGGCGCTGGCACAAACGTGCCAGGGCCACAAGGCCTGGGGCCCCCTTCCCCTCTCTTCCTGTTATTCCTTTTCCTTTCGTTCCTCATTCAGTGCCTATGTGGTCTTCCTTTCTTCAATCCACAAGCCCCCAAAGAAGGAGTTGATAAATTCTGTCATTCCTAGGCTTGATAAATTATCTTTTCTGGCAAAACACGCGAAAATAATTGCATCTCTTGGGTGAGTGGTGCTTTATGGTTTCTGGCTCACTTGTGTGTTTACCAGAATGTTCCCGGGTACCACTGGGGGCACGGTGGGGAGATGATTGGTCCAGGGATGAACGCTTGTGTTTTACTATGTTTTTATTAAGTGGGCATTAAAATACATTTAAAATATTAAACATGTGTAACACCAGCTCATCAAACCCATGAATTCATTATCGCAAAAGTTGAGGCAGAGCGTTGGCTCAAAAAATAATTGTAATTAAGTAATCCTGCAGATGCGAAGCAGATGTGTCAAAATCATAATGGTTGTTCGGTGAAGTCTGGAAAGTTTATTATCTTGTTTGACCCTAAAATTTCTCTTATTCATTCGTTTGCTTGTTCAGCTCTTTCTTCAGTCAACAAACATTTATCGAACACCCACTATGTGCTGGGCACTGAGCTAGGGGTGAGGAGAGCGTGGAGTATGTCCCTGACCGTTGAGGTGCGCGTCGTCATATGCACTTCATAGATGAGAGAATTAAGTCGAGAGAGATGAAGTGACCTGCCTAAAATTCGATCGTCATAAAAATAACGGAAATGGCCATTTATTGGGCGCTCTCATACAGCACGCGCGAATTCCACAGACTGCCGCGGGTGCCAAAGGAGCCTGTGAACTGGGACGTGAATAAGTTCCCATGTGGCCCTGAGATAGGTCATCTTCCTTTTCCTGATCTCGGCTTTTCTAGTCTCAGGAGGCCTGATGACCTTTACAGTTCTCCTACCTCTAGAATCTGGGCAGAGCGACCAAGAGCAAGGACCAGGAGAGCGAGTTGGGAAAAGCCACATGTGGCGGCCCCCCAACCCCACCAGCACAGTGTAAGCGCCTGGAGTGCGGTCTGTACCGATGATTTTTAGCTAGACTAGGGCTCCATGTGCCTCTCTTCCCAGGCTGGGGCTGTCCCTTTAGCGAGGAGGATGAAGGCGGTGAGAACGGAGCTCCGGGTTTTCAATAAGCTGACGGAGCTGCAGATCAGTCTGGAAGGCTACGAGAAGGCTTTGGAGTTTGCCACTCTGGCAGCCAGACTCAGCACAGTCATAGGTAAGTGATCCGGATGGTCTGGCGTGTTGAATGGGCGGGCTGAAAGCTTATCCTATGGTGGTGGGGGACATGGGGGGGGGGGGGGGGCGGAATGGATAACAAAGCAGTAACAGCAAAGGCTCTGGAGTCAGACTGTGTGGGTTCAAATCCCGGATCCAACTGTCGGGAGATCTTAGTTGTAAGCAAGCTGCTTAATGTCTATAAGCCTCAAGTGTGTCATAGGGAAATAAGGCTTAAACATAGCACCCACCTCATGTAGTTGTTATGAAGACCCATGATTATCCATGTAGAACCCGCAGCACAGCGCTTCCGCGCTTGGTACGTAAGTCCTAGATAAGCATTACCTGTGTCACCCTGATCATCATACCACCATTGGTATTACTTCCCGGTATAGGGTAAATGGTTTCATATCCCCGCACAGGCAGTGCCCCTGTTACCAAGGGCCTCTGCCCTAAATTTTTAATTGGTTGATTGTTAGTCAAAAGCACATTTTTCCCTGCGGAATTGAAATGTAGATGAAGGTCAGATTCCCATTAACTTCACTCACTAAGGGGCTGAAATAGTTTACAATTATCACGGAAGCTAGTGGGAAACAATGTGAGCCATCAAAACAGAAAAAAGGCGGAATAA